GTAAATAAAATCATTATGTATACTTTTGATGCTTAATGCCAAATATATATGACGAATAAGCAAATTAGTCCAGGAGGAGAATCTCAAAAGAGGCCTAGAAATAGGATTTCGTAGCCTCCCCAGTACTGATTTTGTTTGACACTATTTTCAGTTAGTATGATGTCTTGGGCTCATGAAAAGGCCTGTAATACTCTCAGATTGTGGTATCAGGTTTTTTTTACAGGCCATTATATGTGGTGGGGGTCTGCGAGCCATTTCGTCACATTTCGTTTGCTCCCCGACAACACCTCAAAGTTAATCATTAATAGTTTTACTACTATCAATCTGATCACTTTCATTTTGACTTTTGTGTACTGCTAAAGGATGTAGAAATTATTTGACATAATTTTGTTTTGAAAAAAAAATCAAAATGGCCGCCATTTTGGCCGCCATTTTGTTTTGTCGTGTTTTGCTTTCTCAGCACTTCAATCTACATAAAAATGAACACCGAATGTTTCCATTTACATCCAAAGTTGATACTTTTGATGTGTTTTGACACTTGTTTCTCCTAGAGTGATGGCTTGGGCACAAAACAAGTCATTTGGTTGGTCATATCGTGGTAATTTAATGTTTTACAGCTTGTTCTTTGAGTCAGGGGTATTTTAGCAATTCTCCGACTTTTCATGGAAATGTGTGAGAGTGATTTATTTAATGGCAGTTAACATTATTTTTGTTACTAAAACAAGTTCTTTTTGTTTTCTCTTTACTTCTAGAGTGACGGCATATTATTAGGGATTTTTATATATTACCCAGAATTCAAAATGGCTGCCAAAATGGCCGCCATTGAAGTTTAACTACATATACTTATTGGAGGACTAAATTTGTACTGATATGAAATCCAAACATATCATTTGGTGTTTAATGTTTAATACAGTATAGGAATAGAGCTAAATTTCAATGATAGGGTCAGTCAAAGCTTCACACTCCTAAAATATTTGATGAAATAACATTATCCAAAAGTGTTTGAAAACTATGCTTCATGGCCAATAACTACGTCTAAGCTTTGGTTGTAGGTATTCAAATTGTTCTATCAGATAACTCTTAATCACTTTTGATACATCCATAAGCTTGCAATTAATCCTCCTTTTCACTTTCTTTCATTTCATATGTTACTTCATGTCAGAATCGGACCTGTAGAGATCCGGGTTAGAATTGATCTTCAATAACCCATGCTTGTCGTAAGAGGCGACTAACGGGATCTAGTTGTCTGGCTCGCTGACTGGGTTGACACATGTCATCGTATCCCAATTGCACAGATTGATGTTCATGCTGTTGATCCCTGGATTGTCTGGTCCAGACACGATTATTTACAGAAGACCGCCATATAGCTGGAATATTGCTGAGTGCGGTGTAAACCTAAACTCACTCACTCACTCATGTCAGAATCGGAGTCATCTACTGGCAACAGGTCAAAGGTGTTCAGGCAACAATCATTTGCCATACAAAAAGACATGCCTATGTGCACACTATATCATTCTTTCTGCTGGCATGATGACTTTTTGCTTTTACACGATGTCAGTTCAACTAATCCATGGGGGAGCAGGATCTCTCGACATCAGAATAGGGATAAGCTGACCATCACATATGCTCCAACCATGGTCAACTGGTGAAGGAATGTTCATGATTGGTTGCAGAGACTGTTTCCAAACATGGACTTTGTAGTTTACTCGTTCAATGTGATGTTTTAGACTGTTGGATGTTGGTTGGAGGTTTTCATTCAATATCTTGTGTCATGCAGACATAATTCATTTGGAAGATTGAATGGACTTGTCATCAACCTTGATGTGAACATGGACATTTCTAGTGTTCATTTTACAATGGCTCATTCAGATGGAACATTAAGAAAGAACATCAAAAGCGGTTTGTTAAATGAACTTTAAAAGGAAGCTTTTGGTCCTTCGCTGCTTATACTAGCAGAAGAGAGAATGTTGCCAGTTCATATAGTTGATGGAATGGCAAAATTGCAAATGTTCAGAAAGGAAGCTGCTTCCACATTTGGACACTTGGCTGATATGCATTGGGACAACTTCACTTCAATTCTGAATCGAACAGACTGCATTAGAGTTGATGTTGTTTGGGACTTAAGCAGGGGAGCAAATCAAAAGAGGATCGCCAACGGCGCTAGAAGTCAAGATTGTTGGCAAAAACAAACCACTGCCAAGACAATGGGACAAACCCATCAGCAGTCCTGTCAACAAGTCTAGTCTTGTAGCATGTATGAACGAACGATGGTGTTACCTGTTGGTAAAGCCTGAGTCACACCAATGTAGTTCTTAGGACGTCCTGCCCTGTCCAAAGAATAACTGTAAAGTGAGCTCGAACGGGATAGAACGTGTAACTTTTGTATAAATTACAATGCTAGTTTGATCATTAACAGTTCTCAGTACGTCTGTCACGTCTTTACCCCTGCCCCCAGACAGTTGGTGTTACGTTTAGAGTGGGTAAAATTGCCCGTTCAGCCCGTGTGGACAACGTTTTCAAGCAGTCCAATCCCGTCCATAGTCACTTTATATCCCTTCTGAACTAAACCTATCTCGTTCTTAATACGCACAACCCCGTTCTAACTCATTCTTCTGAACCAACTCATTTTCAGGCACTTCTTTCCGTTCTCTCTACTTTCTCACTCCGTTTCTAGTGCGTGCAATCGTAATAGCAATCACTTCCTGGTTCGATTTATATAAATACCCTGCCCATTCTTATTCCGTTCTCAGTTTCAAGGTGGAAACATTGACATCACCATGCCTCCAAGGAAGAAGAAGGGTGAACATCTAAGTTATAAAGGGGTCAATGCGTTTAAAAAGTTCATCAAACATGGGAGGGGTGATTCTCAAGAAATTGTAGAAGGACTCATGATCATCAAGGCGGAGCTCCTCCATCAGGTGATGATAATGTCCCACAGCTATTCACCTCTCAGGTTTAAGCCAGTTCCTCACCCAACACGTTCTTGTGTTTTCCTTCTTTCTTGCTCTACCAACTCATTGTACTCTTGCTCTGCTTCCGATCAAAATTGCAGGAAACCAGCATTCAATATTTTGACAGCTGCAAACTTGTTCATAGAAACTCTATCCCAAAGGACGACCATGTTAAAAACGCATGTATATATACCTTACCTTGTCATTTCGTAATGCACACAGAGTTGACATAGTAAGAACTGCATGAGAACTACATAAACATACTACCAACGAGTAGAACGTGATGAGAACCCATTGCAAACTGTTAGAACCATGTACTACAAGTTTCTTCAGAACGATTCATTTTGTTTTGAACATATTTTCTTGGAATAGCGACTAACTAGAGTTCAGTAGAGTTCTGCAAACGGGATGGACCAGGTGGAAACTGTGTACAGACGTATTGCAATTGATGCCGGACTGCACTACGTCCGCCACGATTCTGTTCGTAGTATGGCAATTCCGTTCTTAGTATGGCAATGTCATTTTTAGTACGTTATTACTCCGTCCCATTTTAGAACGTGTAGAACGTTCGACATGGGGAATTGACTTACAGAAGTCCTCTGAAAATCACTAACAAACATTGACACAATTGGGTGACAATTTGGATTGTCTGCATCTTGTGAACATTGGAAGTGGAGTTGTTGTCCCAAAGGATATGATTCACAGCCTCTTGCATGTTAAACAGATTGGGGCAGAGCAAAGGGATAACTAGATAAGTAGTCGATTGAACTCTTCCAGGACAAACTTGTGGTCACCTTTACATCGACTGAACCTGAAAACCTTTTTCTACATTGATTCCCAAAAGGCTGTAAAGCCCAGGGATGAGAAGCTTCACACAACAAATGGATGACAATTTGATGTTCAAGAAACACTCATTACATCTTGTGGCCAGTTTGTGAGTTCTATGCATGTACCAAATAATCCAGTGATGTCTGTAGATGACACAAGATATTGAATGAAAACAGTCTAAAACATCACATTGAACGAGTAAACTACAAAGTCCATGTTTGGAAACAGTCTCTGCAACCAATCATGAACATTCCTTCACCAGTTGACCATGCTTGGAGCATTTGTGATGGTCAGCTATTCTGATGTCAAGAGATCCTGCTCCCCGTGGATTGGTTGAACTGACATCGTGTAAAAGCAAAAAGTCATCATGCCAGCAGAAAGAATGATATAGTGTGCGCAGAGGCATGTCTATTTGTATGGCAGATGATTGTTGCCTGAACACCTTTGACTTGTTGCCAGTAGATGACTCCGATTCTGACATGAGTGAGTGAGTGAGTTTAGTTGTACGCATTCAGGAATATTCCAGCTATATGGCGACAGTCTGTAAATAATCGAGTCTGGACCAGACAATCCAGGGATCAACAGCATGAACATCAATCTGTGCAATTGGGATACGATGACATGTGTCAACCCAGTCAGCGAGCCAGACAACTAGATCCCGTTAGTCGCCTCTTACGACAAGCATGGGTTATTGAAGATCAATTCTAACCCGGATCTCTACAGGTCCGATTCTGACATGAAGTAACATATGAAATGAAAGAAAGTGAAAAGGAGGATTAATTGCAAGCTTATGGATGTATCAAAAGTGATTAAGAGTTATCTGATAGAACAATTTGAATACCTACAACCAAAGCTTAGACGTAGTTATTGGCCATGAAGCATAGTTTTCAAACACTTTTGGATAATGTTATTTCATCAAATATTTTAGGAGTGTGAAGCTTTGACTGACCCTATCATTGAAATTTAGCTCTATTCCTATACTGTATTAAACATTAAACACCAAATGATATGTTTGGATTTCATATCAGTACAAATTTAGTCCTCCAATAAGTATATGTAGTTAAACTTCAATGGCGGCCATTTTGGCAGCCATTTTGAATTCTGGGTAATATATAAAAATCCCTTTATAATATGCCGTCACTCTAGAAGTAAAGAGAAAACAAAAGAACTTGTTTTAGTAACAAAAATAATGTTAACTGCCATTAAATAAATCACTCTCAC